CCTCTGCCCCCGCAACGGGCGGGCGGCAGATCCTCTGGCCCTGCCTGGCTGCATCAACCTTCGTACTCTGCCCGGTCCTTGCTGTTGAGAAAGGCGCGTTCGTCGTCGTCGTCGTCGTCGCTGCCGTCGATTGCGGCGCCCTCCTCCCCTGCCGCCGCCGCGTCTGTCGTCGTCGTCGTCGTCGTCGCGGCGGTCTCGGCGGGGGGTTGGCCTTTGCGCCGTTGGTCGGCGCCACGGTGCCGCCGCCAAAGGATCCCTTGAGCTGTCCGCCGGGTGCGCGGCGCAGCTCGCCGACCTTGAGGATGGCGCTCTGCGGGATGACGCCCTTTGGGTTGAGGTACTCGAAGTCGGGGCCCTGGAAGACGTCGAGGTAGTTGAGCCACTTTCCGAACCTGTCGTCGCGAGGCGGAGGGGGGGTGGCAGGGGGTGGCAGAGGGGGGAGGAGGCACACGGAGACAGAGGGGTCAACGGTGAGTGAGCGGGTGGAGGGAGGCGGTCGTGGGTGGGTGCAAGCAGGTGCTCTGCTCGCACGCTGACGAACGACGACGGACGACGACGGGACGGGGGCAGGGCGGGGCAGGGCGGGGCGCGGGCGGCGACACTCACTCGCTCGTCTCCTCCTCGGTGAGCATGATGCGGTCGTAGATGTACTGCTGCTTGAATGCCTCCATCTCGCTCTTGTGCGAGTCAAACTCGACGGCGTCGCGCTTCTCGTCCTCGGGGTTGTTGGCGGCGGCGACGCCCTTTTTGGCGTTGCTCGAGACGAGGTTGTCGAGCTTGCGGTTGCTGTGCTCGACGCGCTGGTTGTAGCCGCCAAACAGGGGCTCCTCGAGCAGCAGGCCGAGGCCGGGCGCCTTGGGGATGTGGATGCGCGCCGGGCCAAACGTCTCGGGGATGAGCGAGGCGGGCGCATTGGTGCGGCCGACGAGGACGACGAGGCCAATCATCTTGCGGATCTGGTGGTACATGAAGCTCTGTCCGTGGAACTTGATCGAGATCCACTCGGTGCCGTTGACCATCTTGGGCTCGGACACGTGGAGGGCCTTCATGAAGCGCTGCGCCGCCCGGTCGCGGAACTCCTTGTCGATGGTGAAGTTGTGGAAGTTGTGCGAGCCCGAGTACTTGGCCATGAGGGCGCGGACGTGCTCGACCTGCGACGCGGGCATCCGCCACGCCTTTTTGGCCTTGATGTCGGTGGAGAAGTCGTCGGCGGTGCCGTGCTCTCGCCAAAAGGGGTGGTCGAGGACGTCGCTGAGCGCCGGGGCGTCGGCGCCCGTCTTGGCCTTTTCCTCGCGGTTGATGGCGTCGACCATCTTCCACATGGCCGATCCCGGCTTGGGCGGCAGGAAGACGTAGGTGGGCAGCAGGTACTCGTACATGCGCGAGTCGCAGCTGGTGCGCGCGTTGAAGGCATTCTGCACGCGCGTGATGCCCCACACGCGGATGATGGGCGGCAGCAGCTCGTTGACGCGCTCGACGAGCGTCTTGCCCTCTTGCGCGAGGCCCGGCGGCTCGAGGATGAGCTTGAGCGAGAGCAGGTTGCCCGCCGCGTGGACGCCGCGATCAGTGCGCGCGGCGCGCTGCAGGCCCACCTTGTTGGGGTTGACGGCGTTGTCCTTGCTCACCGCCCCGGCCTGGCAGAAGGCGTCAAACACGTCGCCCTCGATCGTCTTGACGCCCGGGTTGATCTGGAGGCCCGAGTAGCCGATGCCGCAGTAGCCAAACTTGACCGCCACCTTGCGCTTAGGCAGGCGCACCTCGGCGCCGTTGGCCGCCTCGTCCCCTGCCGCCTCGCCTCCCGCCTCGGCGCCGGCATCGCGCGTGCCCCTCCGGTCCCGGCGCTCGGTGTTGCGGTCGTTGCCGGATCGGGACCCGCCGCGGCCCTTGCGGTCCCTGCGGTCGGGCTGCTGGGCCTCTTCGATCTTGACGCGCTTGGCCTCGCCGCCGGCGCCGCCAGCCGCTGACGACGTCGTGGCCTCGGCCGGGGCCGTGCCCGCATCGCCGGCAGGTGCGGCTGCATCCTCTTCGAGAGCCCGCTTCGGCGCGGCGCTGGCGGCGGAGGCAGCGGGGTCTTCGGGCATCGTCGACGACGGGGCAGGTGGTAGCGCCGCGTCCTGGACGGGCTCCTGCTTGGCTATTGTGGCGTCGTTCTGGGGTTGGTCAGACATTGTGGCTTGGACCGGAGTTGGCGAGGGGCGGACGAGGCCAAAGGTATCGGCAAACGACTTGCGCTGGCCAGGGAAGAGACCGAGGGCGGCGTACCACTGGGACGTGGACGGGTGCGGGTGCGGGGGATGTGCGTCGGTGTGGTCGGCGTGGCAGCCTGTATGCGTGGCGTCGCTGCTCTGCGCGGGTCGCTGGGTGGTGAAGGAGCGGCAGCGGGGCGGGAGGTGGCGTGTGGAAAGCGCAGGACGGGGCCTGACGGCGGCAGCGGCAGTGGCAGTGGCAGTGGCAGTGGTGAAGGTGGAGAGGCTGTATCGCGGGGCTGCGATGCGGACGCTAGCAACGAGGGAGGAGCGGACGGGTGCAGAGTGGTGGCCGAGCAGGGCAGCTAGGAGGGTGCGTCGGCAGTGAATCGTGCCCGTGTGACGCCTGATCCGCTGTGTGTTGCGGAACGCAGTGGCAGAGTGGAAGCTGCGCGGTGGGTGGTGGTGGTGGTGGAGAGGGAGGGAGAGAGGAGAGGCCGGGATTCCAGCAGTGCGGGCGGGCCCTGCCTCACTTTTTTGCCCGCCGTCTGGCCTGTCTGCCCGCCTGCCCTGTCTGCCCGCCTGCCTGACTGCCCGCGTCTTCTTGGGAAAAAAGATGACGGGCAGGCCAGAGGCAGAGGGGAGGCTGGCCTGGCCTAGCCTAGACGGGCCTGGCTTGGCGTCGCTGCCCTGCCTGGCCCCGCCTGGCCTGGTCTGGCCCCCACCCAACTTGGAAAAAATGAAGACGAAAACCGGCGACAAAACGTCAAGTTCGGGGGGACCGCCCCACCCGCCTAGCCAGGCCGAGCACCTGCCTTGCCTCCATTATTGCCAGGCCGAGCCAAGCCAGGCCAGGCCAGGCCAGGCTAGGCCAGAAGGTGGGGCGGCGAATCCGCCCGAGAGGCCGTTGCTGGCCTGCCGCCTGCGTCGACACCCGCACCGCCTGGCCAGCGTCACCAGGAGGGGCTCTTCGTGGGGCGAATGCACTGGTGCGCCCGCCCGGCCGCGGCGAGCCGCAGGCGTAGCCGGGCTGGATCTAAGGCCGTGGTGCGCCTACGTCGAAGCGTCGAGAAGGGGGCGTGCACGAGCTCTCGAGACAGGGCAGAGTGGTAAGGAAGCGAGGGGCGCACGACGTGGCGCGTCGTACGTTGGACTCTTGTTATATGCGTGCGATGATGCTGATCATGTGCTAGGAAAGAGATGGGGTATCGAGGGAGGACTGCAGGGAGAAAGAGCGAGGGTGATACAGAGATGGTCGAGACGAGAGAGGCCGTGCCCGCGCCAGCGTGATACGGAAGGCGAAAGAAGGCAAGGCGTGGCGTGGATCTCCGGATCGCGATCCGCCAGGTCCGCTCCCCGCCTCCCCCCGACCGTCACTGGAACAGGTCGGGACAGCTGCCGCTGCTCAAGGGGCCGTATCGGTGCGGCTGGAACTGGAGCGCGGCCAGGAGCGACGACGAAGACGCGGGCGACGAGCCAGACGACGCCGACATCGAGGGCGATAGGGGCGCAAACGAGGCGCACAGGTTGGGCGGCGCCGTCACCGTCAGCGCCACGCCCATGGACATGGCCGTTGCCGTCGCGGCGTCCGTGGCGTCGGCATCGATGTGGTTCGAGCCCAGCCCGAGAGCGTAACTCAGGGTGCTCGCAAACGAAGCGGGTTGCTGCTGCTGCTGCTGCTGCTGCTGCTGCTGCTGCTGCGGGTGGAGCGGTGTCGGCGTGCTGCCAAACACCATCGTCTGCGCGCATGGAGCCGCGGCGAGGATATCGAGGGGCGGCCGCACCATCTCGATGCCGCCGCCGCCCTTGCGCAGCGTCGGCGTGGCAGACTCGCCCTCGCTGCTCGACGACAGGCCGAGCGCTGGCGTACCTTGCCACAGCCTGTCGTGCCGGACCGTGGCGAACTCGGCTGCCGGCGGCGGCGGGATCCAGGCCTCGTCAAACGACGGCGAGGTCGGGTCGCATCGCCGCTGGAGCACCGTCGGCATCGCGGTCGGCATCATGGGCACGGCTGCATCGCTGCTGCCGCACTCCGTCACCAACGACGTCGGCGCGTGCTGTTGCTGTTGTTGTTGTTGTTGTTGTTGCTGCTGCTGCTGCTGCTGCTGTTGGACCTCGGCGATGCTCGAGATGGAGCTGCGGCTCGAGTGCGAGCTCAGGCTGAAGCGACACGTCGATCGCGGCGAGCCGGTAGGGCCGGCGGCGAGGGACGAGCAGGGGAGAGACGCCAACGAAGACGACGACGACGACGACGACGCTGACGACGATGACGACGACGAGGAGAGGCTCGGGGGCATCACCGACGTCCAGCCTGAGGAAGACACGGTCGACGCCCAGCCAGGATGGGCGGCGGTGGCCGCCGTCGGGGACGAGCTGGGCGAGTAGAGCGGGCTCTGCCCGTCGATGCACAGGCCCAGACCGACATTGAGGGGCGGGGATGGCACGTCGTGGCGCCGGGGCGCGACCAGGGCGCCGGCCGGAAGCATGGCCTGCTGCGGCAACGACGACGACGCATGGCCGATCGAGAGGATGGAAGGCGGTGCCGGCGCCGGCACCTGCGCGCGCATGTGGTGGTGCAGCGAGGGCGCCAATGCCTGCGCCGCCGACGTCGACGGGTCAAAGCACGGCGCGGCGAGGGCGCCGGTGCGGATCATGGTCTCGATGAGCGCCTGCTGGCTGCGAGCCTCTTCGATTGCGATGCTGTTGGCCGCGTTGCGCTGGCGGTCGCGCTTCTTGCGCATCTTGGCCGCCCAGCTATCGCGCTCGCACACGGGCTCGTACCGGCACGCCCGGCCTGCCCGCTGACACGACCCGCACGTCGGTCGCGTGCCGCAGCACTTTGACTTCCTGCGCGGTCAAAGAAAGGGGGAGGAGAGGGAGATGGAGGGAGGGGCCAAGGACGTGATGCGAGATCGATGGTCAGCTCACGCTGCCGCACGCTCCAGCTGCTTCTCCGTAACACCTGCGCGCCTACGCACCTCTTGCGGCAATGTACGCAGGCCATGACGATCCTATCGCGGTTGCGGTCGTTGAGCTCGCTGCCGTAGGGCGAGCTGCTGCACCGCGAGGTTGGGCTCGAGGACGACATGCTGGGCCGGAAGGCGTCCGGGCTACGGCTGCTGCTAGCCATCTGGAATGCCATGGTGTCCATTTCCAGTGGTCGGCCGGTGGTGGGCAGGAAATGGCAGAGGCGCCGTCGTCGTGGGGGAACGCGTTTGGTGCAGGGAAGTCGAGGTGGCGGCGGTGAAGGTGTCCACCGATGTACGACAGGACGGCGTCGTTGGGAGAGGATGACTGGGTCGGGGGGCACTGCTGGCGCTGGACAGGTGCAAGCCGCACTCGACGATGGCAGGGACGGAGACCGGGATGCGAAGAGAGAAAGAGAGAGGGAGAACGAGAAGGCGGGCTGGGGGGCGCGGTGGAGGTCGATGCGGGTGAAGGCGGATCGCGGACCCCGAGCAAGGGCCGTTGTTATATCGAGCAGAGGCTTGCAAGCGCAGGAGAGCGGGAAGAGGCACCGCAGGCGATGCCCTGACAGACGCCAAGAGACTCGGGAAGGAGGGGAGGACGGTGAGAGAGGCAGAGGGAACGCAAAGAGATGGAAGAGGGGGGAGGAGCCTGGGACAGGTCCAGGACGGCGCGGGATCGACCGACGTGGTCGGCGGAGGCGTTGTGGGTCTGCCTGCCTGCCAGGCCAGCTCGCAAACGGGCTGGGCGCCTGTCGCGGCGGCGGCGGGCGGGCGAGCTGACGAGGTGGCCGGCGTTTCGGCGCGATGAAGGTTCCAAGGAATCGACGTTGCTCGGATGAGCGGAGTCTGCCACCGCTACAGTAGTCAGCCGGCAAAGGCGGGTGGCGAGAGCGCTGTGCGGCTCCTGCCCTGGGTGGCGACGGAGAGGGAGTGGCGGGGGGGATTCGCAGGGAGAGGTACGTGTACCGCAGGGCCAGGACGAGAGGGAGGTGCGCCGAGGAAGCAGGTGAGCTCTCGAAGAAGCGTCGTGGGAAGAAGCGACGGGCAAAGTGGAACGGTGCGATGGGGAGGGACGACAACCTCAGGTACCCTCACGGATGTCGTCCTTCTGGTCCTCCAAGTGGTCGAGAGGGGCCGGGGCTGGCTGTCTGTCTGTTTCTGACGGGATCCTCACCGGGTGTGGTGCGGTCTGGCTGCACCCAGCTCCTGCTTGCCGCCGCGTCGTCGTCGTGGCACCTGCGCTCGATCCACTAACAGCCCGACGCCATGTCTCGTGCTCGCGCTGCTACTGCAAGTACCCTGCTGCACAGTGCAGGATCTGAGGCAGGTAGCGAGGCAGGGCGAGCGAAACCAGCAGGCGAGGAGGGGGGCCGGTCTGCGAGATGTCGGGCGCTTCTACGCGCGCAGCAGGTGCAGAAGCCGCGGAGGTGCGAACGAGGCCCAAACAGACGATCACGATGTCAGATTCAAGATGGGCAAGGCGAGGCAGGCGGGCACCGTAGACGACGACCAGGTTCGAAGAAGGCGACGCCCGCCTCTCCTTCTGCTGCAAGGGCGGGTCACAGGGAAGAAGACGCAGTGAGAGAAAGAGGGCCACTACGGTACCCTGTCTGCCGCTCTCGCGCTCACCTTGCTTCTTCGTCTGCCGCCGTTCGTCAGATCCAGGGCGCACAAGGAGCGAGGAAACGCCCCCGCGGCGTTGACGCTGTCGCTGGGTGCGGGGCGGGCGGCGGAGAGGGAATCTGGACGAGAGACAAGACAGCAGCGGGGCGGGCGGCAAAGCAGCGGCTACTTTCCGAGCGCCAGAGAAACGAGTCGGGGGTAAGAGGTACCGCCCAAGCGTAACTGCACGTATGGCGTGCCATGCCGGCGTGGCGGGCGCTGAGTGGGAGGAAGGAAGATGGGCAGGCAAGTGAAGAGAGGGACAAGGGCGGACGGGAGCGAGGGCCAGGGTCTCGAGCGGGGCGTGGAAGGCCAGGCAGGGCAGGGCGATCTTGCTGCGGGTTTCGGAGAGCGGCGGAGAAGCGGACGGGCGAGTGTCCGGACGGTCCGCGAGGGGGTGCAGCAAGCAAACAGGTAGAGCATCCTGGCCGCAAGGAGGGACGGGGCGAGGCGAGGCGATGCGAGGCGAGGCGGAGCTGCGGAAGCCCAGTTGGGCCGAGGGCAGCCCGTATTCTGGGCTTGGCTTTGGCTTGGCTGCGGCGGCGGCGGCGGCGGCAGAACGACAAGGAGCGGGCGGGCAGGCCCGGTTGGCCGGGAACCCCAGCGGTCCGGGCATGACGGCGCGAGCGGAGAGAAGCGGGCAGCGACGATGCGATGGGATGCGATGCGAGAGCGCAAACAAGCAGGCAAGGCGGCAGAGTCGAGAGCCGACGCAGCGTCGGAGCTTGGGTGCAGGCAGAATGGCGGCGTGCGGTACTGTAGTCTGTCAAAGGCCGCGCCAGCAGGCTACCGGTAGCCAGGCAGGGTGGCGACGACGATGCCGGACGACGTCGAGCGGCTCCTGTCGAACGGAAAACCAAAGCCCGTGGGGGCGTGCTCAAAGTGCCGCCTTGTTTGGCGTGGCCCGCAGCAATTACCGTCCGCCACGGTACCAAGGCGGTGCACGACAAGCCCGCGGAGAGGGACGCCGGTTGGGGCCCGGCCTACGGGGGCCTTCGTACGTACGTACCGTACCCGCAGGCACGCCCTAGGCCATCGAGAGTGCAATCAACGGAGGCGTTACGGTACGATGGGTTGCTAGCGTGGGTTCTGCGGCAAAGGCGGGCAAGGAGGGGATGGCAGGCAGCCAGAAGGCAGGGGGTTAGCGTGGCGTGGCAGGGACAAGGAAGGAGGCGAGGAAGGGGGCCCGCTCAGGGTTTGTTTGTCTGGCCTGGTCTGGGCCTCGCTGCCGCGCCCCCCCCCCGTACCGACCGTACGTACGTACGTACCGTCCGTCGTACGTCGTCCGCGCCGTCGACCGGACGGGTCCGGTACGGAGCG